GAAGCCTTGTAAAACTAAGAGCTGATTTCTTCTCTGCTTACCGTGCCTTGATTCCCCAGTGAACTAGGACTTGTTTCCCTCAAGATTCTAGCTTGAGCAATTGAGTGGATTGCATGTGGTGTAAATGTTTTCCTCCAGAGTTTGTATGTGGTGTTCTTGCCTGGTGTGCCCGAGAGATTTGTGCCAAAGGCTGTGAGGAGCTGGAAGTGTTCTGGGTACTGGTGTCACTGCAGGGGAACAGCCACAGAGCCCAGTCACGCTGTGCCATTTGATATGGTTAAGAACTAACTTGCCTTGATTTGTTGTTTTGATTTTTTTTTTCCCCCCTCTTCTTTCTTCAAGGAATTCTGCAACCTTCAAGTCCTTTGAAGATAGAGTTGGGACCATAAAGGTAACAGTCTGCTTTGTTTTGTAAACCCACAGTATGAAACCTTGTGCAGAAACTTTAATTTCTGCAATGTTTTTCTTGTAGACTAGTATTCGGGCAAATGGCCTCTCAGATATGTGAAGTCTTGGCTACAGTAGGTGACCTCGACAGGGGGGAATTGAGACTTGGTATTCCCAGTGCTGGTTTCTTGTTATCCTCACTCTCTTCTCTCCTTCCAGAACAGAGTGGTGGGCAGCAGGGAAAACAGCACTGACGGCCTGCACTCCCCCTCGGGAGCTGGGGACAAGTCTCCACAAGACAACGCTCCTTTCTAGACCTGGATGTGGCTTTGCACGGCTGTGCACAACTGGAAGAGCCCCCTCCCTCCCAAACCTTCACCACAGCAACAACATGCCGATCCAAGAAGGGGCTGAGAGCCAGTCAGGAGAGATCCATCCTTCATTCATAGACACTGCTGCTGGATCCAAGTCAAATAAAGAGAATGCAAAGTTTTGTACACAAATAATATTTTACACTAAAGTTTGTAGATTAAATGTATCACTGCTGTCCTTTTGGGAGAGCGTGTAAGCTGGAGTTTCCTTAAAGTAGCTCAGAAATGTAACTGCTATAGATAAAAACAGTTTCCCCTTGTCTGACATAGCTTGGAGCAGATCGTGGCCCTGAGAAGCACAAGGAGAGCAGTTACTGGAGAAGCCAAATACATGCTAAAGCACCTTAGCTTTAGCTTCTGGCTCCATTCTCTGTGTGGGACATGCCATGCAGCTACTCTGGATGCTCCCAGGCTTCTCCTGTTACTGTTTTCTCTGGCTCTCATTGGAGCAGCCTGGTAAACGGGGTAAACAGTTGATTTCTTTTTTTTTTCTGAGCTCCCAAAAGGGAAACTTCACTTAGCAGCTGCCTCGTTGTTACACTAATGCTCTAGCTTTAACAAAACTAAGAATCTTTATTTTTAAATGCAATGAACTTTAAAGAAATAAAGCTTAAAAACAGACAAAAAAAAAAAAAAGCTTTGGCATCATATTAGGGCGATGCTCCCTTGGACTCTGAAGCTGAATTGCAAGCCTTACATCACTTACGCTTTACTTGTTTATGATTTGTTTTCTGTAGAGAAGACTGCAAGGTTTCCAAAGCTGGTTGTTGAGCACTGGAGTTTTGCATCATGCAGTCATAGCAGCATGCTTATAAAGCCAGTTCTTGTGTTAAATTCAGTGGTGCACTCTGTTTCCCGAGTGTATGAAACTTGCTTCTCCCTTCTCAGCTTATGCCTTCGTTCTCGGAGGAGGAATTTTTGGAGGCTGGAATATGGATACCATTGGAGGGACTCGACTCTGCTCTCCGAGGGCTCCTCCAGCTGGTACATCTGGCTGTGACTGGATGGGTTTCTCAGTTGAAAGCCCCAGCTCTAATTTTGGTTTACATAACTGGCAGAGAGTCACGGAGCTCCCTCAGTCCCCCCAGGGACTGGATGTTTTGCTCTTTTGATGTCCAACTTCATTGCTCAGGAGCTGACAAATTCCAAGTTTTCTTCTAGAGGCCTGATCTTATTCTAGTGCCTCCACATAGAAATACCTAGAGTGAGCAAATCTGTGCCTTAGAGGCGAAGTGGGACTTACTCAGGTCTTTAGACTTATGTACATATCTGGGTAGTTTTAGTGGTTTATCACCCGGGAGGGACTGAACTGTCTCTGACCCTTTAGAGAAGCAAGTTTTGACACTGATGTGATTAATCTCCATTTCCCCCACCCCTGCTCCCCTCCCTCTGCAAACCTGGGGATGAAATGTTAGTGGGCAGATGTACTAGGCCATAGGTGGAGTGTAGAGTGTCGTTCACTGGCGCTCCTTGTTTGACTGGAACTGGCCTCCCTGCGAGGAATGGAGCCAGTGAAACGGGGACTGCGGGAGCTTGGGTATGGAACTGTTTCTCTTTAAGATAAAGATTGAGGAAACTTGTCAATAAAGGATTCCTTTGGGAGAAAACGGGGTGAATGTCGTTGTCTTCTGTCTAACAGCACCGAACTCTGCTCTTGGGTGCTTGTTCTGAACTTGTCAGGTAAATACCGACTGCCTGCAGCAGCCTGAGGCAAGAAACAACTGAAATATTCCATCCTATCCCTCTGGCTCGTTGTCTGTCAGCTCTCCAGATGCTTTCTCATGAAGGAATGTGTACTAAATAATATTTACAGTCTGATGTTTCCTTTTCAAGATGCAGGACATGGTTCCCAAGCTGGTTCCCGAGCCGTGCCTGTGCCCTGGGCCGGGGAGCTCCAAGCTCCATCACTTCGCTCCCTTTGCCACTGGTGCTGCAGGTGAACCTCGAGCTTCCTGAGCTTCCTCGAGCTTCCTGAGCTGGGAGCGTGGGACTGCAGTCCCAGCAGTAACCTTGGCAGTGGGAGCTGAGCCTGGAGAAACTTCTAATGTGGAAAAGCTGCAGCTGTGGTGCTGGCGTGGCTTCCCGGCGTGATACCTCAGGGAATCCGTCGCCTCCATGGAAGCTCTGGCAGTCAAACAACACGGCACAGGGGGAGCAGTGGATGGATGGCTGGAGCTGGGAGCTGCTCTCTCTCAAGTTTAAAAGGGCAGCGGAGAGCAGGCAACTATGTTGTGAGAGAGGTCAGCAGAGATCCTCAGTGTGCTGTTTTCAGAGGAAGGATGCCTGGCTAGGCTTGAGGCACGTGCTTGGAGGTGAGGGCTTGGGTTTGGTTTTGTGGGGTTTGGGTGTTTGTTTGTTTTGAAGGTTGGGAGTCTTTTTACTACTTGACTTTAGTAGGTAAAACTACATCTCTGCAACTGGGGTGAAGAGCAGAGGGGTTGGTACGAGATCTGATCCTGGAGGAGAGACACCGCCAGGAATGCCCAGGCTGCAGAGCTGGAGTTGTGAGAACCCCAGGGGCACAGGGATGTTTTCCACCTCCCCAGTCCCTTCCAGCAAGGAATTTCGGGTGTTTTGCAGGAAGGATAATCAAACCTTCCCTTCCTGGTTACAGGCCTGGCAGGGTTTCTGTCACTTCCTGGCTTCTAAGTGTGCTCCTGGCAGCTCTTGTGGGTGCAAACCCCTGTGTTCCTTTGTGGCTGGGAAGGAAAGGAGAGTTTGGGAAAGTCCAGTGCAGGGCACTGGAATTCCAGAGCCATCAGAAGGAAGCCTCCATCACTGTAAATGGGAGGGTGAGCACCTATGCCCAAAGATGGGACAGTTTGGGCAGAGGAGTGTGAGGTGCAGGCGCATCATCCAGAGTGTCAAAGGTGGGGGGAAGCCGTATTGCTCCATCCCACAAAGTGGGAACAAGCAAATAAACAGGAGAATCAAAAAGTAACCAATTGCAAAAATCTGGAAGGAGCCACTTTTCCCTGCTAGCACTATGTCCCGACCCTCAGCCTTAACAGCAACCAACATTTTTTAAGGAATTTGACATTTAGGCTTGTGAGAGGGGTTGCACAACCACTCCATCAGCAGGATCCTGTGCTCATCCCTGACTGTGAGCAGGTAGTGTCCAGAGCCAAGCACCAGCCCTGGGCTGCCAGCCTGGACCCAGTCGCTGTATCCCTGTTGGTGCTGGGATGGGCTCAGCATCTCTTCTTGGGCAAAGACTCCGTGCAAGGTCAGTGCTGGGGAGCCCCTCAAGTAGCTGGTGTTCCAGAAGAGGAGAGGTCACAAGAGTCCTCTGGAGCATCGGTGCTGGAGCTGGGCTAGGGATGGAGCTGGATGGAGCAAGGAGAGGGTATGGGTGCATGATTCACGGTGATGACTGTTGGCAAATGGGATCCATCGTTGTTCATTTCTTAAACATGTGAGTCAGAGGCAGCAGACGGGAAAGGCCATTAGGGCTGCACCGAGAGGCCACAAATGCCAGCAGGGCCATGCTGGAGCTACGGGAGGGATAACTGGAATGAGTATCCCTGCACTGGCACTCAGGTCACCTGCTCTGGACAGGTGGAAGTCAGGCTTTTACCCAACAGTGGGAAACAGCCCTGGGGAACAGCCAGGAGCGCCAGGAAACTTGAGCAACTGGGAGAAACAGACTCACGAGCTTAAAAAAACCTGTTTTGCTCTAATTGTAAGCACTCTTTTGTTCACTAAAGGGAACTGGCTCTGCGCTGAGCTCCTGGTGCCCGGAAGGGCCAGTGGGGTGTCAGGATGGGACCCTCTGGAGTGGGGCAGGGGGTGAAGGTGATGCCCAAACCAGATGTAGAACCAGGGGTCGGTGAGTGGGAGCTGGCCTGAGAGTCTGGTCAGCACCACAAAGGCAGTGAACCCCCAGGCCTGCAGCACACGGGCGATGTGCTGGGCACGTCCCCTGTGCCGCTGCGGGCTCCGGCCCCACCGGAGCCCCTGTGTCTCTGCTCCCAGCCCCACAAATCCCCGTGCCACCGCTCCCCGTCCCTGTACCGCCATCACCGGCTCCTGTGGTGCGTCACAGCCCCCGGTCCCTGTGTCACAGCCCCCCGACACTTTCACCGCAGCCCCCGGTCCCTGTGTCACAGAGCCCGATTCCTGTGCCGCTGTAGCCCCCAGTCCCACCGCAGCCCTCGGTTCCCGTGCCACAGCCCCTCGACCCTTGTAGCGCAGCCCCTGCCCCCGGTCCCAGCACTGCAGCCCCCGGTCCCTGTATCCCGGCTCCCGGTCCCTGTGCCGCCGTGGCTCCCGGTTCTGCCGCACTCTCGGTATCAGTGTCCATATCCAGCCGCGGCGGCAGCGTCTGAACTGCAGCGAGTAATTTATCCTCCTATCACTCCCTGGTGGTCTAGTGGTTAGGATTCGGCGCTCTCACCGCCGCGGCCCGGGTTCGATTCCCGGTCAGGGAAGCTCTTTTTTTGCCGCGTTCATCCCGCTTTTCCACCTTTCCCCCGCTCGTCATTCCCATCGGGATCCCCCTCTCGCGCGCGCTCCTCAGCCCCCCCTTCCCCCCCGCTTTCACCCCCTCCCGCCCTCCCCAAACCCGCGGGGCCGCGGCCTCGTGCCCGCGCCCGGCGGGGGCGCTGCGTGCCGGGGGCGCGCATGCGCAGTGCGCCGGCGCCGCCCCCTGCCGTGGCCGGGTCCCGGTCGGTGTCTGGCGGCGGCGGCGGCGGCACCGGCGCTGAGGGCGGAGCGCGCGCGGCCGCCGCGACCGGGCCCCGCGCGAGGCCCTCGAGGAGCCGCCCCCGCCCCCCGCGGGGCCGCCCCCGCCCTCCCGCCCCCGGGGCTGCGCGGCCCCCGCCCGCCCGCGGGCCGCAGGTGAGCGCGGCGGGGCCGGGCCGCGGGCGGAGGCCAAGATGGAGCTGGTGGTGGCGGAGGAAGGAGGGGAGGGGGGGGAAGGACTGGGGGAGGGTGGGATGTGCCCGCCGCTGTCTCCCTGCTCGCCGGTATCTCCCTGCCCGGGGGGCATCGCCCGCCGAGCATCCCCGACCCGGGAACCCCCCACCCCGTTCCCCGGTGGCGGTGCAGGGCCTGCTACCTTCCCCCCCCCCGGACTCGGAGCAGGAGGGGAAAAACCCCAAACAAAAGGCCTTGGGAAGGTGAATTCCTAATGAAAGTCATCTGTGTGTGTGGGAGCTGTGATTCACCCTGGCTCGCTCCAACAGCCGCGGTGATTTTCCCTTTCCCCTTCCTTACATTGTTCTGCCTAATTTTTGGCGAAATAATTTGTGGCCGCTCGGGTGATGAGGTGCCTAATGAATGACGTACCAGCGGCGGGGAAGCAAATCCAGCCTTTATGACGAGAAACTTGCGAAGGCAGCATAATTCAGTTTATTCGTGCGGTGTCTCCTGGCTCTCACATTAAGAATTCCGGTCAGGTAATTCTGGAGATGGGGAATGCAACTGGACAGAACGGAGACAGCAGAATTCCCTGATAGCGCCTCGCTCCTGCTTTTGTGCTGTATCAATACCTGGCTGTTACACACGGGTGACATCAAAGCCTTGAGTTTATTGCTGGAGTGGAGGCACCGATGGAGCCGGCGCTCCCTGGGGAGCGAGGTGAAGGCCACCCCGTCTGACACAGGAGGGAAAGCCAAATGTTTTTATCTTTTCTAGGTTTCGTTTTTATGGGGTTATTAATTTTCACGCACGGCGAGATGTTGCTGTTGAGCTGTCTTTGCTGCGATAAAGCTTAAAAAAAATAAAAAAAAAGGCTGTATATTTGGTACATCGTCTCAGAGCGGGGTGAAATAATCTAATTCTCCCTGCTGGTGTTTGCCTCATGCCAGCTTATCGTCAGGAAAGGGAAATGATGTGTGTGTGTGTTTGGAGACTGTCTTAGTTTGCTGCTATTGAAGCAAAAACTTGCAGGCCGCATTCACCCAGTGGCTGAGCCGAGGTGGTTCACCCATTTCTCTGGGTAAATTAAGCTCTCCAAAGTATGCAGAGCCGCAAGGATTTCCTTTGGAAATGCGTCAGGATTGGACCTATTTAAATTCTCGAATTGTAGCAGCCACCTTGAAGTGGAATTTATTCTTTTGACTGCGATTTCTGTAGAGGCGCTTTCGGGTTCTCGGGCATCTGTTGGTTTCAGGCTGCTCAGGATCAGTGTTTGCGTTTTTGTTTGCTTTTGATAGAAAATTATGGAATCGTCTGACTAAGGGATCCTGGGAAATAGATGCCAAATTCATTTGCTTTAATGAATTAGCTCTAATAAATCAAGTGTGCTATGCTCTGGGAGGGAGGAAAGATGGGAAGCAGAAGCTGGAGTGGAAGAGAAATTGACTTTAATATATGGAGTGTAGGATGAAAAGAGGTTTATTTTTATTGGGCAGCTTCCTGTGGTTTTCTTGCCATGCTCGAAGGGCTTTGGAGAAATTTGTCGTGATGCTGGCAGTGCAGAACCTGCTTTGTGGAGAACCCTGGGTTGGGAGATGGGATTTTCAGCCAAACAGCTTTCTATAAGCGTAAATAAATACTTCTTTCCCTCCTTTATTTCAGCTTGGGCATTGTCTGCAGCATTTAAATGAGAGTTGCTGCAACATGGTCATTTTCCTCCTAAATTTTGGATGTGTTGTATTGATAAATTGCAGGCTGGAGGTTCAAAGCACTGGTGGAAGATTCCCCCATTTTGCAGGGTGTCCCTGTGCTATATTTAACCATCTTTTATCAGTGAGTGTCTGAAAAAAGTAATGTTTTGGAGTGTATTTCGTCTCCCAGTGTAGACTGTAATCCATGTTGATTATTCCCAGGAAGTATAACCACTCTTTCAGTCTTTCCTGAGTGTCCAGTGATCCGCCTCCTGCTCCATCGTGGCGTGTCCCGGTTTTCAGTGGATCGCAGGCGGTTGATGTGGTTTGTGGCTGGGGTGGCACCGTCCCTGACCTGGCTGCACTGGGAAGTTTCCCAAGATGGTTGGAGCCTGCCAGAGGCTTGCTTTGCAGAGGATGATCAGAGCAGGGGCTGGAATACAGCACGGACAACCTTTTCACATCATTCTCACCATGCCGGGGGAAGGCATCCATGGAATCAGCAGGGGCGTTTGGATTGTCGTACTTTGGAAAACATGGAGCGGTCCCAAAGCATGACTTAAGGACATTCATGCTGGAGTGAGTCCAGAGGAGGCCATGGAGATGCTCTGAGGGCTGGAGCCCCTCTGCTCTGGAGACAGGCTGGGAGAGCTGGGGATGCTCAGCTTGGAGAAGAGGAGGCTCTGAGGAGACCTTAGAGCCCTTCCAGTGCCTAAAGGGCCTCCAGGAGAGCTGGAGAGGGACTTTGGACAAGGGCCTGGAGTGACAGAACGAGGGGAAATGACTTCACGCTGATAGAGGCCAGGGTAGATGGGATATTGGGAAGAAATCCTTCCCTGTGAGGGTGGGGAGGCCCTGGCAGAGGTTGCCCAGAGAACCTGTGGCCGCCTTATCCCTGGAAGTGTTCAAGGCCAGGTTGGATGTGTCTTGAAGCAACCTGGTCTAGTGGAAGGTGTCCCTGCCCAGGGACATGAGATGAGCTTTAAGGTCCCTTCCAACCCAAACCTGGCAGCATTGTCAGGTTCATGGAACCTGTCAGGTTCAGGAATGTCGATGCTGAGAGCCTTGGCCTCGCTCAGGCTGTGCATTAGGTTGGTGGTTGTCAGCAGTGATGCCATTAGGTATTGCATTTCTTCTCTTGGTGAGCTTCAAGAAGAATTTTTGTCTGTGTTTAAGGAGCGTGATAGTGAATATTAATGGAAGCCTAACCAGATTACCTAAGAAATCATGTTTTAGGTTAAATACAAAGTTGCTGAGCAACTTTGAGCTCTTTTTTTTTTTTTTTTTGAATTAATGAACTCAGTTGTGAGAATATCCTTTCTGGGAAAGTAGGCACAACTGAGGGCTGGAAGGGGCTTCAGCAAATCCTGTCTGTCCATTAAATGACTTGACTTACAATAACTGCTGTAACTGGCCTCTGGTATTTGCTGTATTTGTCTCTTTTGATCAGTTGGCCAGTTTTTCATCTTTTTTAAGTCTTGTCAATGTTGATAACCAAATCAAAATATTTTTTGGTATGTTTGGGATAGGGTTTGCAGAAATTTTCTGCAGAGCTCATACCTGGACTGAGCAGTCCAGTACCCTCCCCAGTGTGTGCAAACTGGCATCTGGTGGTGTCTTCACCGCTCTCCTGTCAAACCACAAACAGGGGGATTAATTTAAGATAGTTTTAATAAAGTAACTGATTTCCTTCACTGTTTGCTCTCGAGCTGTGCAAGTGCTCTTTGTTTGGCTTTGCCTCTGCCTGGGAAGATGTGGCTCTTCTGTCACTCTCCACTGACCTGAGGAAAAGACATTTTCCAGGAGCAGGAATGTGGTTTGGCAGTCGCTGGGTTTCTGTGAGGTGACCCCCACCTTGGCAGCAGATGGCACAGAGTCCTGCAGTGAGCCCATCCCCTGCCTCAGGTGTGGCCACCTGGGCCATGGCACAGATGGGTCGTGGCAGAATCCAGAGGGAGGGATGAGGAACATCAGTAACCCCCAGGACCCAAGTGAAGCTTTGCGCTGTTTCTTTTAGCCTGAAAAGGTTGTTCTCCAGGTGCTCCAGTAATTGAAGTAATTTGAAGTGAGCAATATTGGTTTAGAAGTGTCCATGTAAATATTTTTTTGCATATTTAACTCTCTAGCTACTTGTCCTGGCTATCAAAGCTCTTCCACACATCCAGGATGATTTAATGACTGATGGACATTTGCAAAAGAAAAGATTGGAGGATAAAAAGGAAATTGAGGAGTGACCTGGGTGTACCTGGCCAGTGTGTGCTGTCAGCAGGTGGCCAATGCTTATAATCCTTTAAAAACTGTGAATTCCTACCACTTTTAATGTGTTATTTATTCTTGTAGTTTTGTTACTATATGAACTACTCCATGTTGATGCTGGTTAATTAACCAGTGGCTGCCTTTAGTCTTGAAAGAAAGAAGTTTGAATGGTACTATATCTTAGGATTTTCTTTAGAAGCTCAGTGAAAATATTTTCTTAATCAATAAAAACAAAGCACAGTTATTGGAAAGTGCATGTTTTACCTTCAAAGGCATTTTGCTTCCTAGTCGAGGCCATGTAAACTGATAGGAAGAACTGTGTTCAAAATGAAAGTGCCTCAAAAGATTGCATGAATGTTTTTGTGAAGTGATAGTAACCATCAAAAAGGGTTACCATTTTTTGTGCATAGAATAGTTAATAATAATTATTGGCATTGATTTTAGGGTTTTAATGCATTGGTGATGCGTCATTTTTTATTGGGAGAACATGAATAAAACTATTTTAGCATATGTTCAAATTTCTTATATCTTGGCAATTCTTCCTAACTGCACTTACCATTTATCTGCATTGCACTGAAATGTGCCTTTCAAAGTCCTTTTCTGCCTCTTTCAGTAATGCTGAAGTGCTTTCAGTGCCAGTAGGGCCAAACTCAGTAAAATTTGAGTACATTTTTCTTCTGGGTGCAAGTTTCTCGTCTTCTTGTGCAAGTGTTGGAAGGAGGAAGTTGAAGGTTTGTGGTGCACAGAGGTGCAAACAGAATGGTCCTCTAGGCCAAAATTAACTTAAATTACCAGCTGCCATCTCCTCTTTCATAATGTGCTCAAGGGTTTTGTAATGAGAATAGAGTTTCTCAATGAAAGATTGAGACTTTTTTTTTATTATTATTTTTAATATACTTCAGTACTGTGATCTAAACTTTGTTGGGTGAATGGTTGTGCAAAGAAAAAACCCAGTGGCATTTGGTTACTTCTTACTAAAGCACCACTAATGAACCTTTTTTTTTTTTTTTTTTGAGTTTTGTGACATAAGTCTGTGTTCATTAACTGGTATTTTTGTGGCTTCTGACCAATGAGTGGTGCAAGTGAATAGTTCTGTGGATCTGTTTGCAACGACAGGCAGTATCTAAGATCAGTGATAGGAGAGCACAAACCAGAGATCCACCAGCACCCCATGCTTCCCCCTCCTGCCTTCTGGGCTTCCTCTTCCCTCTGAGAATATATTTTTATATATCTGCCAGGAACTGGTTTTAACTGCTTTTATGCAGTTAAAGTGCTCTACACAGTTAAATGCTCTAGGAGCACTTACACCATCCTGCTTCTGCTTTGGTCCCAAGGAGCTTCACGGTCCTTCTTTGGCTTCATCTGAGTCTTACTGAAGTTGTGTTTGGTGTCAGGGATTCTGGAACCTTTGCAACTTCTAAGGAACAACCTGCAGAAAAAGGTGAATATACAGAACCTCTGGATTGCTAATGTTTTACACTGGAGGTGGGAGAAGCCCGAAGTTTACTGATGTCATTGCACTGACCTATCACAGTTCCAAAAAGCAGAAACTCAGAGGTTTTCTTTTTGCATTTCCCCTTCTATGTCTTCAGTTTTTTTCTGTACTTCAGAGGAAAACATTCTTTTTCTCTTCCATCTGTCATTACATGTTTTATATCTTAGCAGGATTTTCTGTTGCTCTGATGGTAATATTGTAGCAGTTTAATTTATGTTGGCCTTTGCCTGGGTCCATTGTTGGAGAATTTCCCTTAAGAATCTGCTTCTCATGGCATAAGGATTTAAGGACACTTACTGGAAAAACATAATTAGGTTTCAAGCTGCTCGTAGAGAGGAGGGACTTGGAAGCCAAACTCCAGATGTTGTTGTGGGCAGTTACAAGTGACAATATCTGCAATAATCTCGAATATGCCAAATGCAGGTAATTTGTTCTACCAAGGCTGAGCCGCATCAGGTGGAATATTTATAATTTCAGGTTGCTTCCGGCATTTCCTGAGGGATTGTCGTTAAAAATATGTTAAGGAATATCTTAGTTTTTCTTTACTTCTCTGTAGTTCTGAGGTCAGCATGGAAGCTGGTGCTCCTGCTTCTGGTATTTTGACATACAAGAAGGGGGATGAGCGGACAAAATGGGACGTGCAAGATCCTGTTCAGAGTCTTAGGGAGACATGTGACGTTGTGATAAAAGTGGGTAGAAGGGGAATAAAATTAATGAGTGTTCATGTGCTTTCACACAGGGCATATGGGATCCCTGTGAAGTCATCTGGTATCTGCACAGGGAATTGAAGCACTGCTGGTTTGTTTTTTTTTTTAAGATCTGCTCTAGTTCAGGTCCACCAGGGACTGATGACAGCTTTGATCTGAAAAACTGGACCCATCCAATACACCTCACATGACTCAATGTACATGGTGTTTTGGACAGGGGACCTTGGTGGGTACTGTGAGCTCTGGAAGAGGTGTGGAGTGACTTGGGATCCTGGTTGGAGGTCCTGGATGCTACATTCTTCCCAGCACCTCCCCAAAATCTCCTCACCTGCTGCTTCTTGAGGAGGAGGGAAGGGACCACAGAACTGTCCCTCCACTGAAATCTGAGGTGACCTGTTTCTTGGAAGCTATAGCCAGAGACATTCCCGTTCTAAACTGTTTAAAAGCTGGATTCAGTTACTGCTTAGAGCAGTGAATGGATTAATTCCAGGTTCTGAGTTGCTGTTCTTTGAGAATTTTAGGAATATTTTCCATCTGATAACTGATGAGCTCTGTCACACAGGGTCCCTGTTTTCCACACGTGTACGATTCTTATGTGTGTCTTGGAGCTGTCCTGGTCTGAGTGGTGAAACAAAAATAGGGTCTGAAACTTGTCTTTTCTTCAGAAAACTTGTTTTATCTTTTTTTGGGGGTTGGTTTGACAAGTCAGTCAGTCAGACACTGGTCAGTCAGTCCTTCTTCTGAAGGCCCTAAAAGTAATGCTGGGAAATAATATTCTGGCTTGGAGCAGACCATTTTCGTCACAGAGGGAAATAAATACCTATTCAATGGAAATATTTTTGTCTGGACAGTAATTAGTGAAAATATTTGCCTTCCTTAATAGGTGTCTCACTCTTTCTTTTCCTAAAAAGTTCCTGATTTCCACACTCGCTGATTTCATTCTTCTTGCCCTTTTAAATTTTGCTTTGGCACAGCATTTGCTATTCACAATTACCTTAGGAAAACCAGGCAATCAGAGTTAATCAGAAGGTATTTGGAAGGTGCATAGTATAATTTCCCAGGCCTACCTCACTGTTTCACTGAGTGGTTTGGATAACGGGGACAGCAGCCAACATGACTTTACTCTTGGGCCTGGACTGGAATGTATTTTGGATGAAACATCCTGGATGATGAAAACCCAGCATTTTCTTTAGTTGTTTTGTAATGCACAACTCCTTACCCCGGTTTCTTAAAACCACATTTCTTCCCATGACTTATTCTGTCTGACATCTCCCTTATAAAGCCCAGGGACTCCCTCCTGCATGTTAAAAATTATCTATTATGACTTTCACTCTTCCTTGCTATTTTGAGGCTGTTTAAATGTGTGGATGTATAAAATACTATTTTAAAAAACCCTGAGTGAGGAAAGGTGTTATTTTACAACTAATTTTGTTCCTGTTAAGGGTTTCCAGGGGGACATCCTCGTGCTTTGGGGAATATGTTTAGGAATGACACTGGTTTAACATTGGACTGATGGCATCACATCAGGCAGAGAGAAGAGGCAGTCACACTCTGGTGTTGGTGAAGATCACAGGGAGGAATAAAAGTGTCACAGTCACAAAAACTATGGGGTTTGTGACATTATTCTCACTTATTTAGCTGGGAAAAGACCTAAATGTGATAATTCTATACTTTGTGCTGGAACTGAAGGGCCTTGGGAATGGCAGTGATTAAATTATGCCCCAGCGTAATAGTGGCCTTTTTGTTCTAAGCTGTCTGAAATGTGATTCCTGTCTGAAAACTAAGGGTATAAAAACGATATGTCTTCTATTTCTCACCCAATTATGTTAGAAAACTCAGTTACAATTAAAGTCTAGAACATGGTTTTTCCTGAAGCGTCAGGTTTGCAAACTAAGTCCATGGTCTGAAATTCAAGCCGTGTCTTTTCTTGTTAAATCACTAGTGAGTTAGTGGGGAAATCAGTAGGACAAATACATTCTTAGTTGCCTTATTATTTCTAAATTATAGACTGCCTTTTTTTTTTTTTCTTTTTTAAGCAGCCATGAAATACTGTTGCCAGACTGAATGGAGGAACTGAGGACATACTTCATCAGGCAGTCTGCAGATTAAATGTATGCAGAGTGAGAGAACAGGGTAAATAAACGTCGTTATGGTTTGTGGAGGAGTAGTATGAAATAAATCTTTTTGTTGGTGAAACCACGCTGTATACTTGGAAAATACCAAAGAGTTTGTCTCCTGTAAGAAAATGCCAGTTTAAATTAAAACCGCTTTTAATCCAGCCCTGGGATTTGTTTGGGTATTTGTAGCCAGAAGAGCTGAGTCCAACATATGGGATGTGTACTGGGTAATGCATTCTGGGGACATTGTAAGAGTACTGTGACATTAGCAGTGCATTCATAGTGGCTTTCCTCAAAACTTCGGGATCACTAGGGAATAAATGTGTTCTCTATCCCAAGGTGCCCCCTGGACATGGGCTCTGGTTTAATTCACCTGTGAAGGAACAGAAATATTTGCAGTGAAGGCATCACTGCCAGCATTACCCAGCCTTCAAAAGGAACTCAGTTGTATTTTCCTGCCAAAACAAGTAAAAGCTGAGCTGGTCAGTTGAGATTTTATGGTGGAATTCTGAAGTCTTAACTCCTTTCATGCTTCTGAATGCCCAGGGGCCAGGGCTTTGAGTGGGGCAGGTTTGAAACTCATCTCCTTGTGGCTTTTAAACCATTTCCTGTAACACCTGACACCATCCAGGGAGAAGGAATCTGTGGTATGAAAAGTGTCTTCCATGTCCAAAATACATATATATTTGTTTGCATCAATTAGTTTAGTAAATCTAAACTAAATGATGACTTGCCATTTCACTTGCAGTTTTTAGGCCTGCTCTGCTGCTCCATGTGCAGGGATATTTGTGATTTGCAGGATTGTGGGGTACGTGGTGAGGTCCTAGTGATTGCTGGGGGAGTGTTGTCCTTGATTCAGGCCATGGAAAAAGCAATTCCTGCTTTCTGTGTCAGCTGAGTTCTGGGCAGGTGTTCACCTGGAGCCTGGAGATGGTCTCAGGGGGGACTTGGTGTGTTTGAGTTTGTGCTCCCCCCTCGCAGTGGTTTTGTCTGTGCCCCCTTTGTAGTCAGGGCACCACTTACTCCTGGTGGCCTTTTGTTGGGTTTGTTTTTATTTGGGGTCTTTGGCTGTTTTTCTCAAGCCTAAAATATCTTTTCCAGCACTGATTACGTGTCCTGGTGTATTTTTCTCAGCTGCAGGAGTGGTGTCCTGCTGTGTTTGTGGCGTTTGACCAACAGGGGATGGTGACAATCAGTGCTTTGGACCTTCAGGAGGGACTGTGCCAGTGGGAACCTCTTGGATAGAGCAGGTTGTGATTAAAGCTCCTAGTTATTGGTGCAGGGATGTCCTTACTAGGCATGACCACTGGCACAGTGGTTGGTCACCAGTACAGCTCTCCTGCAGCACTTTATGATGTAATAAAGGAGGTATGTTAGAAGCCCATGTTTTCTGGTGGTTTTTTTTTTTTTGACAGAAGGAAACGAAAATGTTCTTTTTTTCTGTCAGTTTCTGTGAGGAAGTGAAATAATGAAATAGTGAAGTCTCCTCCCCACCCTCCACAAAAACTGGGGAAATACAGTTGAGCCATTAGGAGAAGAGAGGATCTTTAGTTACACTTAATTTTTTAACTTCGCAAAAGAAATAATCTCTGGAACTAAAGCCTTCGGAATTTAACTGAGAAGATACAAGTGTTGATTGAATAATTATCCATCATCTTAGGCTGGGAGGACCTGATTGGATACATGAGGTAATAGTGAATCGGGGGAAAAGTCTACTTTCTGCCTGTATTAATAAATAGATAAGCTTAATTTTTAGAGTAAAATATATATTTTAGATTACTAAAACTTAATTACCCTGTGAAATGGAAAAGCTCTGACGTTACAGAGGCAGTGACATGGGGTTCCTGGTAGGTTTTAACTTCTCTGTTCCTGAGCTGGGTGGGTGGTTGTTTCTGGAAAATACAAATTCATTATAAGTTCTGCTTATTTTGCCTTTTTATTCATAACTTTTTAAGCAAAAGATTTGTGTGCTTGGTGGGGCAAGAGACAACCCTTTAACAACTGAATGACAGAGATTAATAACTCGAAAACAGGTGAAGTTTCTCAAAAGGGAAACACCAGAGTGGATCATTTTAGATCGGAGTGGGTGTCTGTGCATTGACTTCTGCTGTTGGTACAACCTGCTCTTCCCTTTTGCTTTTTTTACCCATTAAAATAAACTCTTCATTTCAAAGTCTTTGCCAAAACCTGTTCATGATTGAAACTGCCAAGAGTGTTTATTTGACAACACAGCAATTTCAACACCAAATAGGTATAAAATAGTTTTAGTCTGTTTTGCAGTTTGTAAATCCATAGCGTTACATTATTTAAATTTTGAGGAGGGGAAAACCCTCATTTACCTTTTCATTTGCCTCACAACTGATAGGAAAAGAAAAACAGGACTGAATTTCTTCCCCCTCCATCTCCTGCTGCTGTTGATGAGCACAGAGGGAACCACCTTCCCCTGCCCTTCTGAGTTAATTTCGGATAAATCATCTTGCCCTTTGCCAACCAACTTGTAATTTGAAAGATGTGTTCCTGCCTGTTCCTTTTGCCTCTCAGACTGCTTATCTGGCTTTTTTTAGTTGTACTCTGTAACCTCACCTTTATTCCTTCTTTTCTGCCAGGCAAGAGCTGCCTGTGCTGTAAAAAGGGGCAGCTTGGACCGGCGTTGTCTCTCAAATTCTCTATTTGTGACAGGCTGCCAAGAGGTTCTCATTTTGACAATTGATCCAGTTTTCTCAACCTTTTGTCACAAGAGACAATAGACATTTTTTTCTTTTATTTCTGTCTAAAAGCCTTTAGTTGTCTTAGCTACAGGTGTGACATAATAGCATAAATCCTGGTTTTATGTGAGCAAACCCAAATGCTTGTTCCAAGACCTTTTCTATATTTTAAAGGTTAGACTGTATCGGTGTAACCATTATCAATATGATTTTTTTAAAATTGATCCAGTTTATAAAACACACCTGGCACAAATGGAGCTTTATGTCTGCCCTGGTGCTTTTGAAGAAGTTTAAAATATTTCTTCTCCAGAAGAATTGGCATCAGCATTACTTTACCCACAGCAGGGAATGTTGTGGGTTTGCTGATTTATTCTAGTGAACTTGCTGTGAGTAGTTACAGCGATTCAAACACAATTTATAGAGAGGAAAAATTAAGAGTAATAATGAGCCAAGGAAACAGAACTGCTGATTTTTTCTAAATTTTTAAATAACTGAGTAAGCAGACACAAGTTTTTTATAGCCATGTGCAGTTTGTGACAGTGCAGTTGCACTTACTGTAATGCCATAAACAATAATTTAAATTGCTGAAGGATTAAATAGGAGCAATGAAATCCTAAGTAGGGAATCCACTAAACCCCCCAGGTTTTTAGAGTAATTATTTTAGTTGACGAGAGAGGATAGAAAATGCAAATCTAATACTTCACATTTTTCACCCCTAATATGGAAAACTTCCTTTAGCAGGCTTGAATCTTACTCTGGTATAGGGTACAAGGTCACAAGTCTTTGTAACAGGCTGGTCAATCAGACTTAAATGGCCACATTTTAATCTGCTAAGCTCATTAGAGAAACAACACTGTGTCACTGTAGTTAAGTTTGTCACAAATTTCAGTGTAACCTCTCTCACACTTATCAGTGGTGGAGGTTACGTCAATTTAGGCTTGAATTTATCAGAAAAATGATATTGTTCCAGATTTCATTTATTCAAAAGCTCTGTCTTTCTATTTTTTAAAAACCCCTCATGCTTACGAGAATTTAATAAAGTTTTTACTTTCACTTTTGGAAACCTGTCCTCTCTTCCCAAGGCAGATGGATTTGGACATAGTGAAATTCTTTTTTATTTCTGAGAGAAAGATCTATGCACTTAATTTAATTCCCTGGATACTCAGTTAGCTTTCCATCAGGGCTTATATGTTAAAACAATGTTTTTATGGATATGAAATTTCTCACGTGACCTTTAGTGAAAAGGCCACAAACTGAACAGCAAAATGTAGCTGAAAGGCTTTTGTGCTGTGATATAAAAATATAAGCAACACCAAAACACACTCTTGGATGCTTTAACAAAATAGTAAATGTTAGTGATTCAATTAATAAGTTAAAAATCACTATTTCAAGACAGCTACAGGGAGAAGAAAGGTGCTTTGAAGCAGTAGTGATTTTCTGCAAGCACTTTTGTTAGCCAGGTTGCTTTGCCTTCAGCTTTGTCCTGTTGTTTTTCCAATGCTGATTCATTTTGCAAGTGATGTGAGCAGGTAAGGATGTGAAAATAAACACTTGGGAGTTCCTGTTTTGTATATTGATTTATTTTATTTGCCTTAATTGCAGCAGCATTTGTTTAAATATTTGCTAACTGTGATACAGCTCCTGTACATGGCAGAGATGGATTATGAGGGAAAGTATCCTGAAGGTGCTTCTCTCTGTCTGTTAACAACATATGGAGCAGGATGAGGACAGTTCTGTCACTGGAATTATTCAATAAAAATGGTTCTCCAGCATCTGTCAGGTTTGGGGAGACAAGAAACACACTTTTGGTCAAATAGGTCTGAGAACATGTCTGATTTCTGGAAGGAAAAGGGAGAATCTGTCTCTTGGTTATGGGAGGGAAAGGTGCTGAGCACTATTTATGGTTCCAGTGTGCAGGGAAAATACAGTATTAGATAAATTGGATTCAAATTTGCAGGAGAAATAAGGGTGGAAGAGCTGGTTTTGGTCTGAGCAAAATGGTTGCAAGAACACGCAGCCTTCCTAAGCGAATTTCTTCGTTGGTGTTTCAAAACTTACCACAGTTTTAATGTGTGGCTGAATTTAATTTGCATTTGTGTAGCTTTGCTTGTGTTTGTTATCTTATCTTCATCATTCTTTAATCTTTTTCTTCTCATTTTTGTGCTTACATCTGCGTTTTCTGCTTGAACAATTGTGTGTTCCCTTTCCCAGACTTTTTTCCTGTGTGTGTGTGTTGTTGAACTGGGTGCCATGCACTTGATGTTGATTTTGAATGCTTCCCTTTCTTTTCCCTCATCTGCCCTTTCATTTTCTCTGCTTTTATTTGGGTTGTGAATATCATGTAATAAGGAGGGGGGATATTTACAAGTAATTAGGAGCAGGGTATTATGTAGAGCTCTGGGTCAGTGGATCTGGCCTCCTGAATAATGAGATTGGATGGGGAGATCAAAACATTCCTGAGTCACTAAATTGGAATTGCCAGTTGCAACAGAAAGCAAGGGAGTGAACCCTGGGGATGAAGTGCTGGGCTGGCTCAGAGCTGGCAGGGAGGATGCGCTGGGGAAGGCAGGATGTGGAGTAGCTGGCATGGGTTTCTCGTGTACTTCGATTTTGTAAGAAATAGTTTCCTTTGGAGTTTATTTTTGTCTTGTTTGATTATTTTCAGCTGTAAATCAGGCTGCCTGCTTTTAGAGAAATGTATTGGCATAGCTGAAAGACTGAAGAAGTATGGCTGCTTGCATCCAGATTAAGATAATACTTTGCTATATATATCTTGAGTTCTGTATGTGGATGGTTATTATATATGTATATGTGCTGTAAAAAACGATCTTTTCTGCTGATGGAGTTTTGATGAGGCCTGGGCCAGAATCTTGTGTTTGAACCTTCTGTTCACAGATCATTGTATGTTATTTATGCTATTACATGCCAAATTCTGACTTTAGTAGGATAGCTCATTTTGTCAAAGTATATTTGTCTCCTAAGTACATTTGAACTTTGATTTTTTTCTTCTGTTCCACTCCTATATTTCTATCTGTGTACATCCATAAATTGAACATAATTTAGCTGGTTCTCAGTTTGGCTGTCAAACATCTAAGGTTGCTGTTTGAAACAGAATCAGTGGTACAATTAAAGATGTTCTTCATCTAAGTATGAAGCCGTAATTCTGGTTGCCAACCCCATTAACCATCTGCAGCTTTCTGTAGATGCTTAAAAAATATTCCTTTTGTGGATTGTTTTGCAGTGAAGGAAGCAGCGGGCAGGAAACATGGGAGCTTTTATAGCTTCACAAAACAGGTTGTTTTTCCTTGGAGAGGTAGTCCACCCTCCAGTACTGCACACACTCTGAGTGGGGAATTTTAACTCTCTGCCTTTCGTTTTTCAGGAAAGATCCTTTGCCAGTACCTATAAAGGAACTAAACAGATCCATTAACAGTAAGCTGATTATTGAGTTGTTGGTTGGTTCATTCATACCCACTTAGTGATGTGCTGCTGGATCAAGCAGCTTCTTACAGATGGCACCAAACAACTGCTGTGGGCAGCAATGCCAGCAGCTCACTGGGTGTATTCCCAACATCTCTGTTCACCACACTAAAACCTTCCAGTGTGTGAAAGGCCTAATTATTAATTCAATGGGGAGTTTATTTCTCGAGTGCATTCAGAACTTGTTGTTTGGAAGCTGTTGAAAGGGTTTAGATGATGATGAAGTGATGACTTGCCAGGAAAAAGCTGCTCTGAAGTTCCACTCATGAGGTTTATTGTTCAGCCATCCAATGCACAATTGACTTTGGGATTGATGGTGAGGGTTAGATGTGTCCTGTACCTGCTTAATAGGAAAGATATTTTAATCTATTGCAGTGATTTTTCCTTAATTTTTTTCCACAGCATCATATAGCATTTCCTAGGCTCCTCTTCTCCACGTACTCTCTTATTTCCATGTGATCACTGATCTGAAGTGATCTGTCTGACTTTGCCTTGACCGCTGAAAGACTGAGCATGTGTTGTTGGGTCATCTCAGGTTCTCTCCCTCCTTGTACATTGAAATGAGACTTGTTTCTGCCTTGAGTGATCTGCTTCAGGATGGGGGAATGTGAATGGAATGAAACCTCTGTTTTCTTGATGGAAATTTGTCCTGGCAGAAGGAGCTGGTGCTGCTCCTCAGAGCAGGCTCTGTACGGGCTGCTCCAGTGCCAGAGCTTGGGGTCTGCTGTGTGAGCTAAGCTGCTTTAGCAGTCCCTCTCTAACATGACACGTTGTCAAGACTTGAAAAACATGCCTCTGTTGTTCCCAGCACAGGTATTTCACAAAGGCCTAAGTTGAAAAAGCCCAAGGTCTTAAACCGATAATGTTTATTAGATTTTCTGTGCACCTGGATAAGTGTGTTTCTTTCAAGTGGTGAAAAATTGGGGAAAAGAGACTGAAGCTACAGATAAAAGCATAGAGCCCTCTAATCTATGCTTTTAAATATTTGTCACTGGCAGTTAGTCAGTTCTAAAGACAAGTATTTACATTGTGGGGACTTACTGTTTATAAATATTGATGAAACACTTGTGTGTTTTTACTGTCCAGTAATGTGATGATAATTTTTCAATGAACCCTCAGCCTAAGAGTTGGTGAACAATTTACTTTGCTTTTGTTTTGTCTTTAGGAGATTCAGTTTTAGAAGTGTGTGAAGGCTGTTACCACTTAGAATACTCGAACTAGACACCAGGTAAGTTCTGGATTTCTTTATTTCTTGTAGCTTCTCATTTAAATGCAAAATATTGCTGAGGAAACAAAGTTCACAGTTTCCTATAGAAATCTCTTAGTACCTCAGGAAGCCAAACCTAAAACACCTCATATTTTTAGTGGTAACACAATCTTGTATATGCTTCTCTCCTCTCCCCTTTACAAATGTTTTTTTTCACCCTTGAAAAATACCAGATTGTGAGAACGACTCTAAATGACTCTGAGACAGATGGACAGGATGTGGAGGCCAGTGGTGCTTTTTCCTTTTTTGTGATAAATCAATATTTACTGAAGTGTTTTCTGGCTCAGTGTTTTTATTTAGAATTTTACTAATGAATACTGGTTGAGATAGAATAATTCAGTTAAAGATTAATGCCTGTAGTTAATTTTCTGCACTGCAAATCTTCGAAAAGCTGGAATCACAACTTTAACTGACATTATATTTTACCACATAGTCAGTTAGCAGCAAGGCTTTGTGGAATACAAATCTTTCCTAAAATACTCCAGTGCTTCCTAAAGTTCTAAAATAAAGCATCAACTAGACATAATTTTTGTAAGAGCTGGCAAAACATCGTTTCCAAGCTGGACTCTTTAATCATCTGCTGATATGCTCTTAAAGCTGTAATTGCAGAGGGTTTGACAGCATTACTGGTAGTTTGTGTTACAGACACGTGCAGGGCTGAAAAGCCACCTCCTCCTGCCCAGCACTCCCAGCAGGGCTTTGAGTCTGTGTCATTTCTCCTGCTTCTTATATGTCCCTTTTGGGGATTTCTTTATTCTCTATGTTACTGGTGATGTTTTGGAAGACTGGGAGGCTGTTTTGTTCTGGGTTCAACCAAACTCCTTTGCAAAGGAGAATATCCATTAACGTTAATGACCTCCCCTTATCCTGTGTCCTGTGGGTGAGTATCACTTACCTTGTCAGGAGGAGGTGGATTTTCTCCTTTACAGTGGGATTTCACTTTCTGGAACAGCTGTTGACAGCCAGATTCCCCACACTGAGGATAGTTCACTGCAATGCTGTGAACAGCACATGTGTACAGGTCTGTGCATTGGCACAGACATTCATGGTGTGATTTTATTTGGTTTTTTAGGAATTTAGACTGATGAATATACAGACATTAAAAAAATTAGAATTCTGGTGAAGAGTATGTACCAATGTCCTGCTCTAGTAGTATTTTTAAAGTTCACAATTGTTTGGTTTCCTCTGCCCCTTCTGATTTTGATCAGTGGAGCTGAGCAGCCACAACTCCTTCCTGAAGCAGTCATTCCTCCAGCGAGGAAATTCAAGGGAGCTGCTGTGCCTGTGTGACTTACACGGGTGGAGGTGGGAAAAGTGGTATTTCAGGCAATGTGGTACTTCACAGTTTCCAGAGGTTTGTTGCTCAATGCTTCAGCCTTGGAGTGAAATGAGAAGTACTGCTGTTAGTCTGCTTCCAGAGGCTAATGGCACTGAAATATTGTGGATGTTGTTCATGGAATTAGCCCTCCATCCCTTTATTTCAGGGTAGTTCTTCCCAGCAGAGATTTAACAGTGGCTGTTCGGTGTTGTTTCAAGCAAATTCTCCCTTGAGTGACCAGTGCTGGTACCTCCACCCACAGCCCTGTTGCACAGCTCCACATGTTTTCTTGGAAAAATCGATATCCCCCTTGCTGCCTCCTTCCAATGAAATTCTTTGCAGCATCTTGTAGCAGGTCAGGTGGAGTTTTAGTCCTCCCTCTCTTCTTCTGGCCACTGGATCTGTTGTCACCCTTTTCAGTGCAGGCATTCTTTGGGATGCTCTGTGAGTATTTAATTCCCTAAACTGGTAGAGAACTGTTCATTTTTTTTTCTTGGCTGTAGTAACACTTTGCCATTTTAATGAGTTAAATACAACTTCCAGAAGAGTCAGCAGTCTTGGCAGAAACTAAAGTATTACTGGTTTCATGAACCTTGATGGGATCCTTTTGGGAAGCTGAAAAGAAAATTAGTCTTTGTAAGATTGAACTGACATAGATGTATTTAGAATGTTAAGGCTGGCTTCCATAAAAACCTCTCAGGTTTAACCTGAGTCTTCTCAGTGAGGTAGTACCAGTTATATTTACCTGGTCCTGCTGTGGAAGCAGCTGCCTGTTGTGGTAAAGCTGACTAAGGCAGGATATTTTGGTACACAGATAGTTAAACACTCTGCTGGTTAATCCAGGAGATTACCTTTCTCCAGAGCCTTCCCAGAGAAGCCTCTTCAGGGCATCCAGCTTGGTTAGAATACAGAGCAGGGAGCAGATGGCTTCTTGCTGCTGAACACAACTGTTTTTAAAAGCACAGGGCAGCTTTCAGGATTGTGAATTAGAGCCACGTGTGAAAACAGCAGGAGAGATGATACCCCAGGTTATGAAGCACTCGGAACTTAAATAACTTGCACCTTTGTTGTCTGTTTCGTATTTAAAAAAGCCAAAGGTTGCATTCCTAGTAATAATACTCTTCTGTTCCCTTAAATAACAAGCTTCCCAGATGAATTCCCATCACCACCTTGTCCTCCACTCTTCTGCCAAGCTCGAGGTGTGCATTTCACACCAGTTTGGAGAAATAAGTGCTAACACCCCGTTACACCGAGCTGTGGATCCCCTGGACTGTTCAGATGGAAGCAATTAAGGATGCAGCAGTGTGGAATTGTATTCCTGTGCCTGCAGACTGATAGATACCACCTGGGTCAAACTGAATTCATTTTTATTAAACAAATTTGCCCTAATTTAGCAGTGGAGATTTTGTTAATCGGAACAGGGTGTATGGCTGTGATCTGCAGCTTCTGTCACCAAGGGCATGTTGGATTGATGTTACAGGAAGCTTGTTGTGCTTAAACAGAGCTGCAGACTTTAAACAGCGCAAATGCTGTAATGCCCTGGAAGCTCCCATTTGAAGCAATATCTTCTTTGGGAGAGCTAACTAACATGTAAGATTCCAATCAGGATGCTTTTTTCCCTTCCTTCAGGGGTCCCCGTCCAAGAGCAGTAGTGACAGACACTCCTTGGCTGGGAGCTGCTGGTGGGGGACTGGTGTGGTGGAGCTGCGGGGAGGTGCCCAGGAGGGTGTGAAGTGATGGTCATGGAGCAGCAGGAGCTGTGCAGGGAGCCAGGACAGCAGTGGGAGCAGGCTGGTGTGATTAGATAGATTACCAGAGAGATGTCAGGATCATCGGTCTTTGACCTCAGCTCCAGGATGGAGGGGGCTGGGAGGCTCCCAGTGGGAAAGGCTGGCCTGGAGGGTTGTGCCTGCTGTGTGCCCAGGTGTGGGGTTTCGTTCCTGAAATATGTTTTTCCTTTCACTGAATCAGATTATGCCTGAATAAGTGAGTTGTTTGTATTGTGTCTTGCAGCACTCAGTAATTTTCCTCCCATACGGAGAGCTTTTGGTACTGAACAGTGTCCTTGAAAAGAAAATTCTCTCCTTATCCACACATTCACCTTCCAGGTTTGGGGTGCAGTTTGAATTCTTAGCCAGAGCATTAGAGTTTAGACCTTTTATTATCAATAGTAATAATTTATATCTTCCTATTAGGCTGGTTTGTATTAAACTTGGTAGAATTGCCAAAGACTTCTTGAAGGAGATTAGATGAGAGTTTGGTTTAGGTGGTGTATTCCAGTTAAAACAATTGGACGTGGAGCAGAGTGTTAAATGAATGTGGAGTTAGAGAGGCCAAATGTGGGAGAGAATGAGCAGCAGGGTCTGAGCCGAACAAGACAGTGGTAACATGTCTGTCCACATCCTTGTCACCTGGTCACCCTTGTGTGGGTGAGACAATTCCCATGTGTTGGTAGAAGCAGAGCTGTGGTTCTGTGAGGTGTGAGGTCACAGCTCCACCCAGGCAGCACAGGGGGGGATGCCTGAGAGCGTTGCTTTCAGCCAGCCTTGGGAAAGCTGGAGTTATTAAGTTTGTTATATAAGACATAGGGTTAATTTAGAAAAGTCTGGTGCTTTAAATATCTTTTTCAAAGGCTACATAATCTGGTGTAGGCTAATTGTAATGACATAATCCAAAAATAGCCAATAGTCTTTTCTTGGATGCTCATCCTGGCTGCAGTTCTGCAGCTAAAGAACAGCAAAGCTGATCTCCTCAGGATGGGAGGGGACATAACCAGGTCTGTCCCTGCCATGGCACAGGGGACACCTCTGGGGTCTGCTGTGTTTGGATGTAGAGCAGGAGGTTAATCCATGTTCAAGTAGCATGAGTTTAACTAGAATGCATGTTAAATATTGGATCCTGAACTTTAAATTACAAGAGGGGAGATCTCCATCTTTCCTCGTGGGATGCACAGGCCTGGGCACACTGGACTTGTCCTAAGGATTCTGTTTGACCTGGTGTCAGTGATAAGATGGGGGATTGGAGTTTGGGAGGTGTGGGGAGGTTTGGGTTTTTTTGTTAAAATGTAATTCATTGTTTTTATAGATATTACCACAAATAATCTTCTTTCTTAATCTGAATATTAAGAAGTATCTTTAGGGATGTGTTATGCAGTACATAGCTATAACTGTACCTCAGCTGTTGATTTGGGCTTTTTGGAAAGAAGAGTTGAATATACACAGTGTTGATTCGGGATGCCTGGTGTTGTGCTGAAAATGTAGTAGTTGTTTTCACTGGTAATTCACTGAGTTTTGTAACTTTTTACCTTCCACATGTATGAAGAGCCATTCAGAGCACATTTAAACCTTATAAAAGCTGAATTTTCACATGCAAACCCTGGTTTTAAGGATGTTTTGATTCATGAGATCTGTTTTATTCTTTGTTTAAGCATTTTTTAATCTTACTGTTTTGGCAGGGGCCGGTTCTCTCCTCAGGTTAGCTCAAGATGGCAGACCAGAGGCAACGCTCGCTCTCTACCTCTGGGGAATCCCTATACCACGTGCTGGGGCTGGACAAAAATGCCACTTCAGATGATATCAAAAAGTCTTACAGGTAAAAGTTTGAGTTTTACACCTGTCCCAGTAGCACAGATGGCTTTATTTCAGTATTCAACAGATGGTCTATTTACACAGGGGCCTGAGCTGGTATATTTAGACCTTTTGCAAGAAAAATATGTTAGAAAAACAGGTGAAAACTTGGTTGCTTCTTGCAAAACTTGGCGTGAAAATGTGCTTAGGCTTTTAAATTTTTCCATCTAAATTCTCAATTTCCATCTAAATTTCCGAGCTAAATTCTCAAATATGCAGTGTCATTCTGAAAGGTCTTTGTTTAAAGTTGAATAGAATTTTAAGACAGTGTGGTCAGAGTTAAACTCTTCCTGTTAGGCAGCCTTGTGTCTGGTTTAGAGGGAGCACAGATGGGCAGAACTGCCTTTTTGTCCATCATTTCCACTTGAGTGAGGTATAGATTAAAGATGCAAATAAGGATGTAAACCGAGTAGCAACACTTACTTTTTCCTAAAATTCCTTTCAAAATTCCCTCTTCTTTGTGGAGTTACTAGTTTAAAAGAGGATTTTTTTCTTTATTTCTTTTCGTAAAGAGTTGGACACATGAAATGGCTTCATATTGATCAGCTAATAACAGAAAAAGTGTTCTGCAACATCCTCCCTTTCCATATTCCCTGACCAAATAAAAACAACAAAAAAAAAAGAGTTCTGTAACATCCTCGCATTCCACATTCCCAAAAAATCTACTTAAATGCAGTTGCTGCTCTGTGACAAGTGGCAATGTGGATGGAATGACACTAGGGGTCAGCATCACCTTTCCATGAGGATATTCTTTAGCAAAATTGTTTTCTTTTAGTCTTCAACTTTTACCAAAACGTCTTCCCTTTCAAAGTTACATTTGTAATACCAATGGCAATGACATAGTGAAGTCTAAGAATAAGCTGGGTCCCCAGATTCTCAAAAATTAGCTGTATGTTCCTAAAAATTTCAAGTGGAAGTTTGAATCAAGCAACTGGAAAATAATCTTACCTTCTTGGGGGAAAGACTGCAAGTTTTTCCTTTGGAGGAACAGCCCCACGAGGTCCTGGGGTGAACTGTAGCTGCTTCATACTTACCTGAACCTTCATCTCGTCTCGTTTCCTCTGCTGCTCCTTTACAATGTTCAGTCTGAACATCCTTTGCCGGCCTGGGGGCTCTGGGGTTTGTGTATGTGTAGGAAATGGGAAATGAAAATTATTTATCTATTGCAGCCTGATTAAACCCTTTCCAGGTTTATAGAAGTTCCCTGTAATTATAAAAACTGTGATTATTTCAGCCCTCCCTGAGGCTGGGGCACAAGTGGCAGCCATGGACGTTATTCCCCTGAGCAGCATCGTGTGCAGTGGGAGTGTTCCAGGGGCCATTCAGTTTTTCACATGCTGTGAGATACTTGCAGGCACATCCAAGGGCTTGCACACATCTTTATTTTATGTTCTGTCTAAACATTGCCCCACTGCAAAGCTGGTGTGGAATCCTCTGCAGGCTCCTCTTGTGTTTCTCAAAGGTGTGACTTTGTGGTCATTTTCTGTACAAGAACCTTTTGTGGTGGAGAAGAGGCAGCCCAGAGTTCCGTGTCATTTTTGTACCGGGGAGCACATATTTTCTGTTTCTAAGGAGGTGCTTGCCCAGTAATTTCTGCTGGTTTCTGTAAATAGTCTGGGCCATGTGAGAACTAGCACATTTATCAATGCTTAATCTGATTTTTTTGTTAGTTGTAAGAGATCTGGCCTGATTAGGGGAGGTGTACGTTGTGATTTCCTGATATCTTGAAACTCTGAAGCGTTTTCTATTCTAGCAAACCTTGAACTGAAAAGTACTTTGTTCCTGCACAGGAATTGGTGAATTAACCACAAGTGATCGTCTGTTCTATTTTTGTGTTCAGACACTGCAGAAGCAGCAGTTCAGACACTGTTCAAGCAGCTTCTATTTACTCTTTGGTGCTATACCTTAGATTTGTGGTGTGTTTTTTTGCTGTAGCAGGAGCAAAACTTAGTGGTGGAAATTGCTGGAGCTGAGGGTAAAAAAAAAAGCACAACTACTTTTCTTCAGTGTCTTTTTTTTTTCTGTTGGATTTCTGAGGGTCAAATCCAACAGTCTGAAGTCAATCCTGTGAGCTAAGCTAGACACTGCTGTAGCCTTTTGTTATCATCTAAGGAAGAATCATCAGGGAAGTTGAATCACAGATGAAGGAAACATGAAAGTCTCCCTTGCGTGGCAGGCTACGGAATTAAAAAAAAAAACTAACTAAAAAAAAAAAACAGGAACCCAAATCCCAGTTTTTAATCTATAACGATCTCTCTTTTTTTTTTTTTTTTCTTTTCTGCAGGAAACTGGCATTGAAATATCATCCTGATAAAAACCCTGATAACCCAGAGGCGGCGGAAAAATTTAAAGAGATCAATAATGCCCACGCAATATTGACCGATGCCACAAAGAGGAACATTTACGATAAGTATGGGTCTCTGGGGCTCTATGTAGCAGAGCAGTTTGGTGAAGAGAATGTGAACACATACTTCGTGCTGTCCAGCTGGTGGGCAAAGGTAAATAAAAGGGCAGGGAAGTTATTCTGGGTTGGCATTGAAAGCTCTGTAAGAGCAACATTTGATAACTGGTTTTGGTTTTTGGAAATTTGCTGCGTTTCTGACACCTGGTAATTAACCCTCTTCCTGCGTTGTGATCTCTGGTCACCAGCAAGTCAGAGGTCACCAGTGTTTTTCTATGATCTTTTGGTGATGCAGGCCTAATACAAAGACTTATGTTACTAATTGAAGCTGGATCTGGGAGGGTATTCTCTGGTAACATCTGCAAAATAGTTTTGCAAAATGAGTCCTGACTGTGAACTTGAGCTCACACAGGAGAAGTCTGCTTACATTTCATTGCATGGGTGCATTTTTCTACCCTTTGCCAGCATTGACTCCCTCTCTTGATTCCCCTAAGTAAGGGAATAGTTATATCACTGTGCTGGTTTGTTATCTGTAAAATCATTTTTTTCAAACAATTGTACAGTGACCTACAGGGAGACTTTAATTTAGCCCCGTTGTCACTGTGATAAGCACCCGGCAGACCCGGCTCTCTTGGAGCTGCCTTGCTCATACTGGGAGCATCAAACCTCAGTGCCCTGAGCTCCCAGCCACATCCACAGCCTTGGGCTGGTCCAAGTCCCTGCTGAAGGTACATCATGACCTGTGCATCAGCCAGCACAGGTCAGTCTGTGTCAGGGATATTAATGCAAGCTACAGTCTGTTCTGAACTGTTGTGCCTCTGGGTTTTAATACAGATACAGTCTTAGACCTGTATGTTCTTCCAGATGCAGCAGAATAAATAGTCCACTTAATCTAAATTGTAGGAATTCTTCAAGCAAACCAGGTTGTCAGTATTCACCTCCATGTAAAATGGGGAGAGCCATAGTTTTGCACATAGTTTTAAATCTTTCTTGTTGATGAGGTAATAAAGCTATAGCTGGTGAGTTCTGTCTCTGCACTGCTGTGTTTTTGCTCTCTGGTTCCATATCCAAGTCTCACAGACTCCATGGTCACGGTGCAGTAGGCACAGGTTATGACTGTCTCTGTGTTTTCTATCCCTTGCAGGCCTTGTTTGTGTTCTGTGGGCTCATCACAGCCTGCTACTGCTGCTGCTGTCTGTGCTGCTGCTGTAATTGTTGCTGTGGGAAGTGTAAACCGAAACCTCCCGAAGGCGAAGAGCAGGAATACTATGTCTCTCCAGAGGACTTGGAGGCACAGTTGCAGTCAGATGAAAGGGGTAGGTGAAAACTGCTGCTGGATGTCTGAGATAAGCATCAGTCCCTGCCAGTCCCATCAGTGAGCTGGTGGAGGGATCAGCACAGGTCTTGGGGTGTGGGTGATGAGCAGGGAGTGTTTGTGGCACTATGTGGGTGACGCTGACACCGGATATAGAGTTGCTGAAAACTCCCAGAGGGTCTTCACTGAACTTGATGGGATCAACTTCAGAGCAGTCAGTGACCATCATTCATCTTCCTTCCACATCTCTGGGGGTAACATATGGGCCAGATGTGTGATTGCAGAAAGGGGCTCTTGTACCTCGAAGGTTGGGGGTGTCAAGGCAGCTTGAACTGCGTCAGGTGTAAAGGAGCTGGCACTGCTGCCCCAGTAGCTCTGTCTGATACTGTTCATGAAGCTATAAAGCTCTTTCTGTAGAATTAAACCAATAGTTAAAAAAAATTGTAGAGCCTTGTGTAAGCTCTGATGACATTTTTAATGGGCACTGCTGAAGGTGGGTGAGGGTCAGCTGCCCTTACAGGGAGAAGGAAATATGATAAATATTCCACGTGTAGACTTGAGTCGAACGCTGTGTGTGCACTGAAAATCAGGGAATTAACATCACACTCTCAGAGCAACGTGAAACTGTGTTATCAGAGCGTTGCAGGGAGATGTGACTTGTGCTTACCAAGTGCTGTGTTTGTTCCTTGGTGTCCTAAGCCTTTTGTCTTCCCTTTTCAGAGGCCTCAGACGCACCTATTGTGATACAGCCAGCATCAGCCACAGAGACAACCCAGCTCACAGCTGACTCTCACCCCAGCTACCACACTGATGGATTTAATTAAGTTAAGGAAACACTGTCATTAGAATGGATAAAAAAAAAAAAATAAATACATGGCCAACTCAACACTAGAATCATGAACATTAGAAGTAGAGAATGGGGAGGGGGAATAATTCTGCCACAGTAAGAAGGCAGCTTTCCAACCTGCCGAAAATATTTTGTAATCCCTTCAGCCTTTTGTCACCTTTCAGTGTCGTATCTCGATGATACGTGAAGTGCTGTAGCATGCAGTATTTAAAGCAGTTTAGCTACGGTCTTATTTGTTTTCCTTTCTTTTGGTTTTTATTTTCCCTGTTTTTTTTTTTTTTTGTATAGCATGTAAGGAGTTATGTTCGATGTCTGTGGTGTAAAGTATTGAGTTGTCACAATATCAGTGCGATGGAGACATTCTGCATTTTAAGCAGCAGTACTGGCCTAAAAATTAGGTTCAAAAACCGTCACAGAAGTCACTGTTCTTCTGTACAGCTGAGCTCTCAAAGACCTTTAAAAGTTGAGGATTTTCATTTGAGTGCAACAAACCGAGTCTTTCATTCCTCCTATTCCTGCGTTTTTATCTAAGCAAGTTTACAAAGCCAAGAACCAAAAAATGCCAGTCCTGCAGAGCTGGAGTCCTCTCTAATGCTGGTTTTCAGCTTAAATAAATCTACCTTGAAACATAAAAAGGGAGAGATGCCAATCTTTGAACAGTAAATTGAACAGCTCACTGTGCGTGAGGCGATCTCCGGTGACAATGGAACCAAAACCAACTGGGAATGGGCTCCTGTGGTGGTGGCAGTGAGATTTTAACTCCAAGCACAATTCTGTTTTGGTTTGAGTTCAGTTGTTTTCCTGAAATGCTAAAGACCAAATAGTGCAGCTTTGTTTCTGAATGCATGAGAATCTTAAAGTGAAACTGGTTAATTGGCTCTCACTGAGGAAGTGAGTAAAATGCAGGCGACATCAGAAGTGTTTTAAAAAATTGGTTTGTAAAAATTTGTTCTGATAATTTGAGATTTTAGTAGACAAATGGGGTATTACCTGTCTTTTTTTAAAGCTTTTATAATACACTAACCCTTTAATTTTCTCATGAACACCTTTGTGGAGTACTTAAATGGATTTTTAAGAACAAGCCACCTTTCTTTGTGTTTATATTGTATAATTTGCACATTGTCTTGCATTTAGATTTGTTTACACCAGTGTTTTTCTTTTCCTCAGAACAACTATGTGGAAACCACTGAAAGGTTTCCTGTTCTATTTTGAAACCAAATCAAGTCCAAATTCTGCTCTAGTAAACCATGGTTTATTGAATTTAACTGTTAAAAAGGTATTTTAGGCAGCTGCTGAGTTGCTGGTGTATTTTGTTGTCAGTAATCCTGCTTTAGAGGATACAGAATCAGGATCTAGAACAGCTACAGAGAACCCACACTTGGCACTTTGAGCGGGTAATTACGGCCTCGTTAGTTTTTATCATTCTGCTTTTTATCACTCTGCTGTCCTTTGCACCCCCGTTTCTCTATTTTGTTTTTCCCCCTCTTTCTGTGGAGGGGCTGTTGGCACCTTCCCGCTGTATCTGCTGCTCCAGGGGTTACTTGGGAGAGAACCTGCCAGAGAACCATTTGGAATATATTTTCCCTCTGTCTTTGCATGAGCAGCAGTGATGTAACCCATAAAATCCACCGTGAAACCCTGTTAAACAAGCTGGATAGGAGAAAATGTTCTTAACACGGTCTCAGTGCTCAGTGAGGGATGTTTGCACACCCAGACTTCGCTGTAGCTGCTGGTAGAAGCACGTTTGCCTGCATGGGAGCTTGGTGCAGATCAACATGCTTTTAGCACCACATCAGGCCCCCAAAATTCCGAAAAAAACCCCATGACTTTTAACTAATGGCTTGATTTCAGTAGCACACTCCTTAAGTAATTTCTTCTTTGCCCGAGGTCCTTTTAGACCTGAAATGTGGTAGTTTACTGCAAGATACTTTTAACTTTTTCTGTCTTAGGTGGCCTTGAGGACATTTGAGTATGATTTGGCTTGAGGTCCTTATTTAATTAATGTCTTTGTTTGACCCCATGGAAGGAAAAGCAGTTTTTAGGCTTACACCCAACTTTTGATGGTCCTTGTAGATTTTGCCTGAAGCCTGTTCTTGATGTAGAATCGCAGGCTGGAATATGCTTGGATATCTGTAGGCTTTGTCCCTAAACACTCGCTGGTTAAAATCGCCCTTGACCGTGCAAATTGTGTTCTTGGTAAAAAAAACTAAGGTGTTGGGGATTTTTGGCTTTGTAAATGAGTGTGGCTGATTGGAGAGAGCTGGTGAATGGGGAAGGGAGTTACAGTCCCTGTCCCCGCGTTCATCTCGGCGGTAACACAAAGCTGGTTGTTGTGGAGCAGCTTTGCCCCTTGTGCTGGGGGCTGGTTGTTGCTGTTAATTTGGAATAATCCTCTTATTTCTTAACCCCTCTGGGCTGTTTCCGTTGTGGGAGGTGTGGGACACACCTGGAGTTGCTCTGCAGGCTCCTGATGAACCAAAGTGTGGGCAGCACGTGAGGACCAGAGGCAGCACCATTATCCATGGGGAAAGATGACATCCAAGATAAATCTACAGTTTTAGTTCTTTGCTTAGCAAGGGATGAGTTTGGAGAGAGACTGCTTTCCTGTCAGTTGTCTGTGGGTGGTGTGTGAACAGGAAATTAGTCTGTTACGTGCCAGAGCGATGTTAGATGCTCCAAGGGAAACTACCCTGAGATCCCAGTTACAGAGAATGATGGAAAAACATAATTCTGCATGAATATTCATGGGTTTTGAAGCTGTTTAAAGTTCGCCAGTGTTACTGTCTAATCTCTCGACTTTAGGATTGTTGTGTATTAATGAAGTTCTTGAACTATGTAAGGAAGTGATTTAAACATTCCTCCTTTAAAGCCAAAATCATGTAATTGGAAGATAAGTAGATTAATGCCCACTTTTCCCCTCTTGGAGGGAAGGTACGAGAGTACCCTGGGCTCTAACATGAGTTACACTTAAAAATGACCAAATGGAATCCTAGTAAATGTAAAGTTATATTGGGAATCATGTTTTAAAATCTGGTGGAGCAGCTCAGACAGGAGGTCTGAGCTTGGGCAGGTGGAGCTGCAGTGTCCCAGCACTGCATCCCTGACCTGGCTTAGTGCAGAATGTTTCCCTCCAAAATCAAACCTGAGCACTGTCCATCTCTGTCCAACATCTTGCCAGAATCAAAACTTGAGCTTGGATTTTATTTATTTATTTGTTTCTTTAAAGTTGTATCATTTGTACGAGTTGCCTGAGCCCTCTGTTTTCAGTCGTTCAGCCAGCTCCGTCCAGCTCCTCCAACCTCTCCAGCACTGATTTCCTTAGCACTTGTAGCTCCATCAGGATGAATCCTATCTGGAGAGCTGGTGTTCAGGACCACTGACTTTATCCCTGAGCTGTGTTGCATGGAGAGTCATTCCTAGCTTAGGCTGAGGAGGGAAAGCTGCTGCCGAGAGCACTCGGGTGCTGTCTGCCCTTCCCGGTGTGTGGAACTGCTGGAGAAGGAGGTGCTGGATCTGCCCTGCCCGTCCTCCCTGGGGATGGAGGCATCCCCAATGCACTGTACTGGAGGGGCATTGCAGCCCTTAAATGCCAGTCTCATTTTGTTAGTGATTTTTGTAGGAAATTCTTAAATATTTATCTGTATATAAATTTATGTGAGCCTCGGTGGCGTCCCGTAGGGTGTCGGTTTCTGCTGGTCCCATGCAGTGACGTTTTAGAGAAATGTTCCCTTTTTAGTCTTCTTTTTAGATTTGTAAGCTTTTTAAACTGCTTTAGATATTAGCACTCCTAGTGTTCTTACAGTGGGATGCTCTTGGAGGTTTGGAGGAGCAGAACTGAGGAGTGCTTGGGCACAGAAACACCCAGTCCTGCAGCAGGGCTGCGGTCAGGGCAGTGCAACTCTCCAACCCCCATCCTGTCAGCCTGGAAACACCCTCACACAGGTGTAACCAGGGCAGGAGCCTGATGGAAAAGCTATTCCTGTCCCATCCACGAGACGATTGTGTGGTGTGGCGGGACACCAGTGCACTTTGGGAGGCTGTACCAGGGCGTTTGTACCACACACACTCCGTGAGAGAGGCACCTGCTTCTCTCACCTACTTTGTGCCCTTCGTCTGTCCCTGTGCCCTTCAGTCTTTTGCCATTTCTGGATAATTTAGGAGATTTGTGCTGCAGGTTTTTTGTACCCAGTGTACCTGTATCTTGGCATCATGTTTAACAGGTGACCCCAGCAGGGTGGTCAGGGCGGCATTTGCAGCCCCCACCTCGTGTTAATAATTTCGGATGGTGTTTAAATGCGCGTTAATCTCGGAGCACTGAGCTGTAACCCCCCAGTACTCGTGTTTGTAGTGTCAGGTTGGTATAAACTTCACATGCTTCATCATCTGGTGCCGCTTCTCTGTGTTCTAGTGGAAATCATCTAGTTTGTAGTGTCTCATTGCACCAACAGCTGCTTAAAATCTCTCAAAAGAATCATAACCGGTAGCTCACCAGGTGGCAGGAAATTTGTCAGTGTTCAGCTCCCACAAGATCTGTTGTCTGCTCCATGAACTGCCTTGGGAGACTGACTGGGACTATCTGGGACTCGGCAAGACTGCAATTCCCGTGTCCTCCTAAGAAGACGCTTTCTTTACGAGGAGAAGCCGCGGGAGGGAACCTGGCTGTCCTTGACGTTTGCACAAGCCAAATGCCAGAAATCTGGAAGACAAACTTTCATTATGCCAATGTTACATGCACAGTTGATTTTGGTGTTAAAAGGATAGATGCTGGAAATTTCTGGTGGTTATATATATATATATATATATGTATATGTATATGTATAGAGGAAGCTCTTATATAAACTGGCTGTTCATTCCCGAGTGCCATTGTCTTCTCTGCTCCCTCTCCCCACAGCCAGCCCTGTGGGTGTGCTCTTGCAGTCTGTGAGCGGTTGCTTGTCAAACCATTCCAAAAATTTAACAATCTGTTTGAATTCCATGAGCTGCCCCTTGTACTGGCCCCCTTTGCCTGCTCCAGCTTTCCTTTGGAGGAGAGAAGGGAGACCTGGCAGAGGGCACAGGGGCAGCTCTGGAGTGACTTGGACTCGTGCAACTGGTCCGTGGGGCGTTCAGATGTGGTCGATGTGCTCATCACTGGAGCTGAGATAGAACACATTGATTTGGGGTTTTTCCCTAGTTTTCACCATGTTGGACTCCCTGGAGCGGGGCTGGGTGAGCTCACAGAGCAAGGTCCACCCTGTGCTGAGGGCTGTGGGCTGCAGCATCACGCGTGTGTATGTATGTATATATGCACATATGTATATATTTATACAACAGGTGTGCACCTAGGACTTGCTGCTGGTTTTAATTTGGTGATAAAAATGTGAAATTTGGCTCAAAGTACTGCTCTGAACTCAGCCAGACAAGTGGAAGGTGTGTTCCTCTTTTGTGCTTCTTTCCTCTCAGCTGCAGGAAAACCCAAACCAGACCCATAGGGTCAAGGGACTGCTGAGGACACGGAGCCTGTTGTATAAATAAATGGGTCACACAAGTGGGAGAAGCACCTTCTGCTCCCCACGCTCTGCTCGGGTGAGTTCCCACGTGAGCAGTGTGGTGTGTTTGCACGGCCGGGCGCAGTCCCTCCGCTTGCACGTTGGTT